AGAGACAGAGAGAGAGACAGAGAGAGAGAGAGAGAGAGAGAGAGTCCCTTTTAATTCAGAGACACAGTCTTTTTAAATCATCTGACAGGACAGAATTATTTTATTCAAATCTTAAAGGTAAATTATAGATGATTAGACATATTTGTCCTCTAATTAAAGAACAGTATAGTAAACTACACAACATGGTGACTTCTGTCATAGATCCTAAGTTTTACAGAGCAATAAATGGGCATTAAATACTGCTGTCTGCTGGAATCACTTGAATGTTTAAGGTACTGATGCCTGGGTTCTCCTGGAAGAAGCTGAGAATCCCTCCCCTAGTGTTGGAAGGGGTTCTGGGAGTCCTCTTTTCTCAGGAAAGGGTTTAAGCTTCTGAGAATGTTGGGTGGCCCCTTCTATCCTGCTTCTATTATATTACCAAGCAGTGGTCCAGCAGGTCCAAATGATGTTCTCTAAGTGATCCCAACTAGATGGTAATTTCCTTTCCTGCAGTAACATGCTGTTTTATATCCCTAACATTACCCAGTGCTGGGAACAATCAAGTTCTAGAACTATAGCATGCTAATAGCCTTCTACTGGGTCAGACTTCAAAGACACAAGGCACCCGGGCTCCACCTCCACCAGTGTCAGCCTGTGAGAACTTGCACTCAGTTTCCTCTTCTATCAAATGGCTGAAAATGCCAGACTCAGTCACATGAAGGAGGCAGACTAAAGCTGAATATCCCCAACAGACGTATGATGAAAATCACTTCTGTAATTGCTCTGTAAATGCCAGACATCTTCACCATGCCAACCCAGATGGAAAGGAAGTGAACATTTGCTTAGACCCTTTAGTGTACTGCTGGTAGACACTAAAGTATTAAAAATGAAGTCACGACATCCATACATTCATTTCCCCTAAATATTAAAATATTTTAATAGTACTCACATTTTCGATCATTGTGGTGGCTTTAGATGCAGGATTGCCCTTCCTGTTTGTAGAACATAAAGACCGTATTTACTATATTACTACTTCCAATCCTGAAACCCATTCTCATTCAGCAGGACTATCTATTTTATCCAGGCAGGAAGAAACACCAGCAGCCCACTTACAGACAGTATCCAGAGAAGCCATGCAACAAAGTACATACAGGTTTGTGTGAAACCCTGAGCAGCAAAATGCAGCCTAAGGCTAACATGCTAAGTTGATTTTGTGGAATACACAGACAAAAGACTTATTTTCAACCTGATATAGTCACATTAAATATTTTAAAAGTTTGATTATTATAGTCCAAAATTTCATTTGTCCATGGACAGTTTTATGTGTTTATTGGGGTTCTAGCAGAAGCTCAGTGAATTTGAAGACAATGAATTTCATGAATGGACATAAGGTGTAAGGAAATAAAAATATTCCTTCCTGGATTACAAAGACTCTTGCCTGATTCCACAGAAGCTCAAATTAAGAAAGTATAAATCTCCCACACTCTATTTAAGATCACTTTTCACTCTGTTCAAAACCCTCCAATCACTCTGCATCTTTATTAAAAACTTGAAATGCTCACAGTTGCCTGGGTTGGGGTGGAAGTGGGTAGTGGCTACACACCCAGGCTGCTCTGTTCTGAATATCCCCTTTGCCAACCCTGATATCTTAGACTTTGACCTGGGATACCATGTGATTGACACACCAGGGTTGGGGCAGGCATCTGGGAATCAGAAGTCAATAACAGGTGAGTCTTCAAAGGATTTAAGAGAAGCCACGCCAGCTGGGGAGAGGGAGGACTGTGTAAAGAGAATGGCCATGCCCATTTATAAAGGGAGGTCAGCCACAGGTCAAGTGCAACAAAACTGGGACTTTGATGATCTTATCCATGTCTTATTCATGACTCCAACATTTTTATTAACAATTGAGATATTTTCCCCCAGGAGTTAGAGAGATGTCTCAGTGGTTAAGAGCACTTGCTTGTCTTTCAGAGAACTGGGCTCCCAGCACCTATACACTGGCTCACAACAACCATCTGTGTGTGATTCCAACTCCTGGAGATCTGACACTCTCTTCTAGCCTCCATGGATACTGTATGCACTAGGTACACAGTCATACATTCAGGCAAAACACTCAGACACATAAACTAAAACAGAAAAAGGCTGGGCGTTGGTGGCGCATGCCTTTAATCCCAGCACTCAGGAGGCAGAGGCAGACGGAGCTCTCTGTGAGTTCGAGGCCAGCCTGGTCTCCAGAGCAAGTGCCAGGATAGGCTCCAAAGCCACACAGAGAAACCCTGTCTCAAAAAAACAAACAAACAAAAAAAGATGTTCCCCAAACTCCAAATTCATATACCTTCTGTTACTGATTATGACGACTTAATAGTCGAACGAGCTTATGAGACACTGGAAATTCAAGCACTCTGGACCTCCCCTTCCCAAGACGTTGCTCCTAAGACCACCTCCTGCACTCTTCCACATTCAATAAGTAGAGGAAATGTTCTTGTAACTGTGAATTCACCTCCCATTTTACTTTTTCCCAACAGCCTGAATCTGGATCAATTCATTGCTGAAAATATATCCACTATGCTATAAACCTTTCAGTACTCCAACACCTGTAAGCTATGTTGTGTCTTGTCTTGGTTACTGTTCTTTTTCTGATTGGTCTACTTATTTTCACTTTTTTTCCCTTAAAGTTTATTTCTAACAGAGAAACCAAGATAAACATTAAAGAATTACAAATTTTAAAAATGCTTGCAGCCCTTCATAGACTTCCTATATTACTTAGACCCAAAGCCAAATGCCTCAAAATCCTCAAACTGCTTGGCAACATCTCTGTATAGTCTGTCCCCCAATGCTTTTGTGTGCTCATTGCCTCTCTGATGTGGGAAAATGTTCTTGTTCACTGTAAAACTTTGTCACTCATATCGGTTAAATAAAATGCTGATTGGCCAGTAGCCAGGGAGGAAGTATAGGCGGTGACACCAAACTAGGAGTATTATGGGAAGAGGAAAGGCAGAGGAGCAGTCACCAGCCAGACGCAGAGGAAGCAAGATGAGAATGCCTTACTGTGAAAAGGTACCAAGCCGTGTGGCTAAACCTAAGAATTATGGATTAATTTAAGTGGTAAGAGATTGTTAGTTATAAGCCTGAGCAATAGGCCAAACAGTTTATAATTAATATAAGCCTCTATGTGTTTATTGGGGACTAGGCAGGACAGAAACTTCTCTCTACGCTCTTTCCCATGCTGCTGGAGGCACAATGCTCATCTTTATCCTCTGATACCGGGCTGTCCCGACCTTGGGCTCTTTGATGTTTTCTCCCCCGTCTACAGGAGCATCATTGGGAAATCTGCTTGGCCTGCTTCCTTCCTCGGTCGTTACCAGACACCATCTGTGTCCCTGCTCGACCTTCTATTCAAATGATAGTCTCCACTCCCATTCTTTGTATCTCAAAAATTTTTTTTACCTGTTTTTTCTTCCATAGTTCTTGTCACTCTCTGAAACGCTGTAGAGTACACAGGGTTAGTTCTTTTCCGATACTGGAATATAAGCTCCATATTGATACTTATTTTGATACATGATTTCCAATATAGATTTTGTGGGTGTTTTGGCCTTTAAAAAAAACCTGATACAGGGGCTGGAGAGATGGCTCAGGTTAGAAGTACTGGCTGCTGTTCCAAGAGGTACTGAGTTGAATTCCCAGCAACCACGTGGTGGCTCACAACCATCCATAATGAGATCTGGTGCCCTCTTCTGGTGTGTGTATACATAATAAATAAATCTTTTAAAAAACAATGAAACTGCTACATAATGGCAGTGCCTAGAGCAGTGTTGGGTATAAAACTGATTAAATTTCAGTTAAGCGTAAAAATTACTAAGTGAAAGCTTATTTGAAAATTTGCAGTTTAGTGAAACATAGAAATAGTGTTTTTAATGTTGGACTATGGAAATGTCTATAAAATTAGAGACCATGTTTCTTCTCTTGTTATTTACAAGCAGGCACAAGGACAGAGGTAGTATGTATTTCTTGATGAAGGCAATTAACTTCTAACAGGATTGATTACTCTATACAAATAAACTACTTTTGACATTAAACAGATGGTTAAAAATAAAAGATAGGAAGAAAATATATTATGAAAGGATACTTACTGGAAGGAAGTTTCTTCTACAAAAGAACAATTACATATCATTAGTGCAAGAACTAATATGCAGATCTATCTACAATGGCTTTAGCTTGCCTCTCTTTGAGTCTCACCTGTAACATATCTACCTTCTAAATGAAAAGTTTCCTAGAAAAGGTCATACATACAACAAATGTTTGGGGCTTTGAGAGGTTGGGGTAAAATCAAGGATACTTTGGAGTTGTTTATATAATCAAGAAGAAAACAAAATTTCAAAAACTTGTTATTAAAATTTAAATTATAATAATCATCTCATTGGCTTATTAATTAAAATGATAGGATTCTTTTGGTGTAGGGCTAGCATTTCCTTGAAATGTGATTCCCAAGATAGTGTTACTGTTATTAAGTAATTTCAAGTTTGCTTCTGTAAAAATTAGCTTATAAATCCCAGAAAATGAGGTAGGAACTGGGCCTGGTGGTACAAACCTGTAATCCCAGATACTTTGGAGACTAAGGCAGGGTGATCACAAGTTCAAAGCTATTCTGGGCAACTTCGTGAGACCCGTCTCAAAATAAAAAAGCAAAAGGAAAGCTGGCCATGTTGCTTTCCTTGTAATGGAACACTGCAATGGAGCAGTGTTCTGGCGTGTACAAAGTCCTAGGTTCATTTTCTGGTACCAGGAAAAAAAAAGCAGAAGGAAAAGAAAAATATAAACTGGATTTGGCCAGAGGTTTAGAGTTTGCTGATGCTGATCTCAAACACAAGTTACCTTGGACAGATTTTCCTGCCATAAGAAAATGGAATAATCTTAGTTTAATGAACTCATCCCCATCTCAACTCTCAGTATTTTAAGAAAGGTACCTTTACTGACACCTCATTTAAAAATCATCAGGATTTTTTTCTAAGTAGGTAAAAGTGACAAGAATTGTGAGTGATGACTTAATTCTACTTTCACTGTTGACCAGCAGGGGGACACAGCTAGATTCTATTTATAAAATAGGCTAGGCTAAGCTAGACTGAACTCTCATTCACACAGAAGTTCACTTTTTTTTTCTTGACTCAGGGTGGTATTCTGTAGACCAAGTTGGCCTTGAATTTACAATCTTACTGCCTCAGCCTTGTGAGTGTTGCAATTACTCGTGAGAGCTCCTTGCCCAGCAGTAGCTAAGCATAAGGAATTAAATTACCTTGAATCAGTTTCATGGAAACATTTGCATTCTGATGCAAAACATTTACTTATGTTGTCAGTAACTCCTTTTGCTTTTGTTTTATTTTTGTTTTTTTTTTGTTTGTTTGTTTTTTTTGGTACTTTTTTTTTCCAAGACAGGGTTTTTCTGTAGCTGTGGAGCCAGTCTCGGAACTCGCTCTGTAGACCAGGCTGGCCTCAAACTCTCAGAGATCTGTCTGCCTCTGCTTCCTGAGTGCTGGGATTAAAGACGTGTATACCACCACTGCCCAGCATGATTTTGTTTTACTTTGATATGAATAATCTTCAACCTAAATTTTAAAGCTAATACCAATTATTAAGCAATGGATCAAAAATTCATTCACATCATAATTTATTATTTCATTTAAAAATTCAACTTCATACCCTTTTGTCAATGCAGCAAGTGGAAGCTCTTGCACTTTCATAAATTTAAACACAGGGAGAGAAGGAATATATCAAAATAATAAAATATGTTTAAATCTCAGAAGTGTATAAACAAATAGCCACATAGTCAAATGTATTTTGAAGTTACAAGAGATCTAACCATGAAGAACTAAAAAACCTTGTCTGGAAGTATCTCTAATTCAGCAGGGTCTATGTGTGCTCGTTGGTTTTGTTTTGTATTTTTTTTTAATAGGATCTCGCTGTACAGCCCAGCCTCACACTTAACTAGTCTAACCACTCCACCCTATCCCCAGTACTGTGATCCCAAGCATACACTACCATGCCCAACTAGGTTTCTAGTTTTGGTTGGCAATTTTCTTTATAGTGGTACTAATTTAGACATTCAACATTCCACTGTTCTATACTGAACCATTTTACTGGTGGTTGTAAAATTAGAAATCAATGTCTATCCTGAAAGACATAATTCCAACTTAAAATATAAGGATCTCACACATTAATACACTATAAACATTTGTCTACAGTGAATGTCTTTGTGTTATTCTATTCCAAGGATGCTTTTCACACATTCCAGGGAATTGCCTAAAATTTTTCAAAAGGGAAGCATTCTCCACCTCACCCCACCCCTGCTCTCATTGCCACAGTGTATCACAACCCCTTATGCATGTTATTGTGGAAGTTGTCTATAGCAGAGTAGCAGTAAAAATACTCTCCAGAGTAGGTACAACTTCACAGGAGAAACAGTACACCTTAAAAAGAAATCTCTGTATTCACAGGAAGTCACGTATCTGAGAAGGGTGAATTCAACTTACTTGAAAAGTAGCCTTTTCTCTGAGCATAGCATATACTAAGGCCACATACAGAAATCACGAAAGCCACAACCACTACAGCTGCTATGATGCCACTTATGTTGAGAACATCTGGAATGTGAAATAATGCATGTGTGAGTTCATTTAAAATAGATGGACAGATGCGATCATTAAACATTAAACAGAGTCATAAAAGCGCCCCATGGTAGCAATGCTAGGGATACCCTGTGCTTTCCAAACCTATTTAACTAAGTTAGTTTCAAGACGTGGCTCAAAATTGGTTGAAAATAGAGAACCAAGCTTTGCCAAAATCTTAAACGTTAGGACTGGCAAGGTAGCACAGTGGGTAGAGGCACTTGCCATCTATCCTGAACACCTGAGTTCAATCCCTGAAACCCTTCTCTGACATCCACACATGCCCTGGGTTTGATCCCTACGGGTGGCAGTGGGGTGATGGTTTTGCACTGAAACTCATATTTCCTAGGAAAGATCCATAAGCTGTCATTCTTTTGGGTTCTAAAAGTCATTTTGTGAAATATAACATACTGTAGCTACAGTCTGAACACTAGATGCATAACTATTCCATGTGTCTTTTGGAAACCTTACACTGCAATTAGTATAAGCTTAGTGTTTCAGGGTATTGACACGCCATCATCAGTGACTTAATAGCCCATATGGCTAACACAAATACAGCACATAAGCACTGTTGTATCGTTTTAGTGTAACTCTATGAAGGAAGTATCTGCCACTGTGGAGAATGAAATGTTAGCAAGCTCAAGGCAGCAGTTTACGTGGGCCACTGGCAACACAAACAACAGCACACTTGGCCATGATTTGAAAGACAGATTCCCTAGAAAGGTCCATTTTAAAATATTTATTTGAAAAATTAAAATGTTACATATAAGCTATATTGTCTTGCCTTGATAGACGATAGAGTGAAAACAATACTGCTCTTTTATATCAAGCCTGTTTTATGTTTCTTCCAACTTGCCTTTCAAATCACTCAACCCCTTCCATCCCTTGCTCCTTTAACCATCAAGTATTCGCCACTCTACCCAGACACCAGTACTTTTCAATAGTCCATGCTCACCACACTCGACCCAGACAGCAGTACTTCTCAACAGTTCATGCTTACCTACTTGCATCCGTTTCCCAGGACACCTGCGGGATCCGACAGAATTACGGGCTTCGCAGTAATATTCTCCACTGTCCATCTTGGAAATCATGTTAAATTGCTATTTGTACAAGGAAAAATAAGTAGACCTTTAAACTGTAAATCTGTGTGTAGACTGCTAAAATAATTAATGTCATTGCATTTGGTCATCCAGTGGATCTGTCCTTTGTAATGACTCAGAACTTTGTTTTTCTAGTGAATATCAGGTATGTATGTAGCAGGATCTTCCAGGACTTTGAGAAGTAAATAATAGCTAGGCTTGTTTAATTTGATAGAAAATGACAAATACATCCGAGGAAATCTGTTTCTCTCTTCCTGCATGTTGCCCAGGCTGGGTGCAAACTCCTGATCCTCCCTCTTTAGCCTTCAAGTAGTCAGCATTACAGGGACATGCCACCTCAGTGTCTCTAATTTCTGGGAAGTTTCATCCATAAAGGAAGGCCTCCCTAGTGAAAGGGCTAGTGCGCTATTGTGGAATAGTATTTTAAGGTGTATTACTTTTGTTTATGCTGTGGAACATTTGTTTAATGATATAGAGATGTGTTATTTTTGTTTATGCTGCATTTGTTTAACTCTGTGAAGCTGTGATTCTTTGCCTATCTAAAACACCCAATGGTCTAATAAAGAGCTAACTGGCCAATAGCGAGGCAGAAAACAGGATAGGCAGGGCTGGCAGGCAGAGAGAATAAACAGCAAGAAACATCTGGGAATGGGGGTAGAAAGAACCAAGAACAAGAAGAGGAGGATGCAACGGGCCAGCCACCCAGCCAGCCAGCCTCGATTAAGAGCAAAAGTAAGATATACAGGAGGAAGAAAAGGAAAAAGCCCAGAGGTAAAAGGTAGACAGGTTAATTTAAGAAAAGCTGGCTAGAAACAAGGCAAGCTAAAGCTGGTGTTCATATCTAAGAATAAGCCTCTGTATATTTATTTGGGAGCTGAGTGGCAGGCCTTCTAAAACAGTAAAAGAGCCAAAAGAGTAGAGAGCAGTACACAACGAACTACAGTACACTTTCTCAGTGACAGGAAGTCCACTAAACATAAGCACTTTCTCCAAAGAGCCAGAGCCATGGTCAGGAAGTAGCTCCAAGGCCCAAGAAATCTCAACTGATGTTTATAGGACTGTAAATTATAGCAATTCCAGAATATTTGGAAATTCTGAGGAGATAAAAGTTCAGCCCTTATTACTTCTCCCTGCCAAGTGATGAGATGTAAGAATTTGATATAAAAGGTGTTATCATCTTAAGGTGCCCTTACCAGATGCCCCCAGTGCTGAGGTTCTCTGAGGGGAGCGGATCCTAGCATTTCAGACTTGCCTCAGGACTTTTATCACCCACTCAGAAAAAATAAATCTGAAGAGTAAATATAGCAGAGTGTGACGGCAGCTTCTGTGCCCAATTTCACAGTGTAAGATCACTCGGACCTGCTGACTGCTCCTGATGACTGTGGAAAATGCTGGAGCATGGCCTTATTCTGTGGCAGCACCCTCTCCTGCTTGTCATTGGCTACAGAATTGTGTGCTTTCCCGAGCATTAGAAGAGCTGGATTTTACATAACACTGCACTAGTAGAAGGAATAAAAGGAAACAATACACCTTTGTTTCAGAATTCCTAAGACTATTTTTAGTGTTACCTGTAAGAGTGTTTTACATAATCGTTGTGGTAGTGATTTTGCACGGCTGCAAACAAAACATGTATAACCCAATGTAATATGATCTTGATTGGCAACAAAAGGCTTCAAATTAAACAACGTGATTTCTTTTTTCCTCCCACCTCTACTCTGAAAAGTCACAGATGAAAAAGTAGAAAGACTTTATAAAAACGTCATTAAGCCCTCTCAGTTATTTCTAGGAAAGGAGGAAACAATCAGAAAATCTGAATTAAGTTTATGATAATAGACATGTAAGCCAGAGACTGGAGCCACGGGAATGTTTAATGATGCTGACACCTGATGTGGCTTTCCTGTTTTCCAATGGACACCGTTTCCATGTTAGCACTGAGGTCCAGGTGTTCCCAGCTTAGTTTTTCGTGCATTTCCTCAGTGGTATAAATTGCGACTGGGGTTAGCAATTTTCAAGGCCAGAGGGGTAGCTATGGAGTCCTGCCTGATCCATCATGACCAAGGCTTGGCCTGCCTGAATCTCCTGCTCATGCCTGATATGCTTAGCTCCCTGGTTCCCTGTACCGATTGCCCAATTCCCATGGGAGTCTGTTCCATCATTATTAGCACATGTATAATATCCTTTGTCCTGCTACTACCTCACCTCCCACTTAGTAACTGATGACACTGATCTTCTGTTCTCTATAGTTTTAAGTTCTAATGGCATTTCATCACAATGACAGTAGTTTAGTACCTGCAATGACCTTACCAGAATTCCAGATTTGGTATTCATTGTGTATGAGCTGTTGTGTTTGCCAAGCTTTTGACTCCCCAGTAAACTGGTGCCATCTTTAAACCATGTGTATTCAGGATCTGGGTTTCCTTCTTTATCTTGACACCGTAGCTCGACAACACTGCCACTCAGAACAGAAGTGGGTATTTCACATGAGGGAACCGCAGGAGCCACTGGACAATAGAGAAAGTGGGTCTCAGGGACTTGAAGTAAAGCAGAATTTAGTAGGTAACGATTAATAACCTCCTGGAGAACTCAGGACTGACAACGGTAGGCAGAATTCCAAGACAGCCCCATAATATCCCCATCCTCAGGGTATATACATGGTCTCTTAGATATCCAAAAGGTGAAAGTACTGTGAAGAAGTCTGGCAAATATAATTAAGATTCCAAATCATGGGGTGGGGTGCCTGCCTTTGATTCCAGCACTCTGGGGGCAGAGGCAGGTGGACCTCTGTGAGTTTGAGACCAGCTTGGTCTACAAAGTGAGTTCTAAGACAGCCAGATCTACATAAAGAAACTCTGTCTCGAAAACCAAACCAAAACAAAACAAAAGATTCCAAATCTATTGTTTGTAATATAGAAAGGTGGATTTGGCCACACAACATGAACCTTTAAAAGATTTACTTATTTATATTGAATGCATGTGAATGTTTTGCTTGTATGTATGTACGTTATGTATGTACGTACGTACGTACGTACGTACGTACGTATGTATGTATGTATGTATGTATGTATGTATGTATGTATGTGCACCAAGTACATGCAATGCTCATGGAGACCAGAAGAGGGTAACAGATCTTCAGGACCTGGAGTAACAGGTTTGTCATTCCCCATGTGGATGTTGGAAAATGAACCTGGGTCATCTGCAGAGCAGCAGGTTCTCTTAACCACTGGTGGTCCATCTCTCCAGTCCCCAGCATGGGCCTTTTAAATGCAGGGTTTAATCTGGTTGATTACTGAGGAAAACGCTAGCAGTTAACAATGAAAGAATTTGTTGTCCTGGAGATAAAAAAGGTGAAATGGCACAGAACTGGGCTCTAGATGATAGGTAGCATTGTATGAGATCTGTCCTACTCATAAGGAAATAAAACTCTGCCATCACCAAAAATGAGCTTGGAAACAGTTTTTTCCCCAGAGCCTAGAGAAAGGAATTCAGCCCGTGTAAAACTTTCATTCCTGCCATGTGGAACACTGAGTAGTGGGTTGCATCCATAGAACAAGAAGTTGAAAAAGGATTGCTCTCTTAAGCTAATGTATGATAATTCACTATGCAGCAGTAGAAAATGCTTATACCGACCGAATCTGCTGCAAGGTTTTCTGAATTACATTTTCTTTATACCAGCTTGTCACTATATTTTATACATGGCCTTAGCCAAAAATTTGATAGACAATAGTACTTCAAAAAGATTCTGGACAACATTTTTTAAAAAGAGAAGAAGTTATATGTCTTGGTTTCTTATGCTGACATCATAGTAAAGATGGTTCTGCCTACTGCTGTTATGAACTGTTACATCTACTAGGCATTTTTTTGTTTGTTTGTTTTTTTGAGACAGGGGTTCTCTGTGGCTTTGGAGGCTGCCCTGGAACTCACTCTGTAGACTAGGCTGGCCTATAAATCACAGAGATCCGCCTGCCTCTGCCTCCCGAGTGCTGGGATTAAAGGCTTGCGCCACCAACGCCCAGCCTACAGTCATTCTTACGCTGATTAATCATATTGGCCTTGGATTAACCTCATCTGGATGCAAATCTTGGTTAGGACATGTTCTCATTGTGTGGCACTGGGAAAAGAATTTGACTTCTATTTCCTCATTTGTAAAAATTAATTTTGTAAATGAAGATTAAGTAAAATACTATGTGAAAGCACTTAACATCTGCTAGCTACCAAATAAATACTAATTCTTTTGAACCAAATACTTTCTGATTTTTCTGCTGGTCTACAATTGTTTCTCGTGTTGATTTTCCATCAACTTAAGGGATACCATCTAGGATGCTGAAAAACAAACACAGAACAGAATCTTGGGGAAAATGTTCATGGGACATGAAGTGGCATTAGGAACCACTTCAGTCTCAAACAAAGATTCGTGGAACTGAATTAGTGATTTCATCAGGCAGTGAGCCGACAGGAATAGCCGGGGTCTTGCTGAGAAGGATCTTGTAGAGTATGGCAGTCCTGGTTGGGGCTCTGGGTTAGTGTCTCACCCCCGGGGCTGGGGTGAGGATGGGACAGCTGACAGCAGTTACCCATGTGCGTGCACCTTACCCAAGACTTCTAGCATGACCGTGTCTTCCTGCAGGTTTTGGCCTTGTTCAGATGGAGCACTGACTTCACAACGATACTTCCCAGCATCATTTCTTGTGACATTTTTGATTCGTATGTTGAAATCTATCATCTCAGCCCGATCTTTAAAGTCACCTTTTTTGAGTGGGGGGAGAAAGAAAACAATGTTAGAAACAAAACAAAAAACTTCCTGTATAGCGTGTGCCTCAAGTTACTCCATTCAAAACTAAAGCATTTGTTTTCCTGGTAAAAACTTCAATGTAAGCTGGGCGTTGGTGGTGCACGCCTTTAATCCCAGCACTTGGGAGGCAGAAGCAGGCGGATATCTGTGAGTTCGAGGCCAGTCTGGTCTCCAGAGCAAGTGCCAGGATAGGCTCCAAAGCTCACAGAGAAACCCTGTCTCGGGAAAAACAAACAAACAAACAAACAAACAAAAACAACAAAAAAAAACTTCAATGTAAGCTTTGAGCTTGTGCATATTATGTGTTTCAGAGGACATTTCTAGACTATTAAAGACTGTTTACTGCCACCCCCTCTCTTTCTCTCTCTTACCTAGGTCTCACTATATAGCCTTGTCTGGCCTGGAACTCTCGAAGTAGACCAGGATGGTCTTGAACTCACAGAGATCTATCTACCTCTGCTCCCTGAGAGCAGGAATTAAAGGTGCATACCACTTCATCTGGCACCATGTTTCATTTTAAAGAACTCAACCAAATGCCTGCCTTGCCACCTGACTAGTATCTATTTCTGCTTTCAAAAATGAAGAGTTTAATTTAGCTAGTCAGAACACTAACTTTATATATGGTCATTCAAATCATACCAGAGAAGAAAGTAGATGGCAAGGATCTTAAAAACATTACTAGATTTTGGGAATAACAAGCAGTGAATTAAAGTGGGCTTTTGTAAGCTAGTTTGGTGGCCTAGTGAGTAATGGAACTTGCCACAGAGTGAAATCATTTGAGTTTTATCCCAGAGTTCCAGGTGATGGAAGGAGAGACAACTCCTGCTCATTGTCTTCTGACTTCCACATGGTATGCATTCCCCTATATTAGTACATATAATAAAATAAAAATGGGGTTCTGTAATATGCAAGTGCATGAAATGGCAATTTTGATGATCCCTCATGGAAGGCCTTACTCTCCCTGGGGAGTGGATGGGGGGGGATCGGTCCGGGGCATGGGAGGATGGGAGGGAGAGGGAATTGGGACTGATATGTAAAATAAGATTTTTTCTAATTTAACTAATAAAAATTTATATAAAAGAGAAATTTAATGTGAAAATACCTGTTCTATTAGCCATTGAGATTTATGTCCTAACTTATTGGAGTAGAATCAGATGGAATACTTTATGTATTTGATTTTTGATATAGGATTTCACCACATAGCTTTGAGTGTCCCAGGACTCATTTTGTAGATCGGACTGGCCTTAAACTCACAGAGATCTCCCTGCCTCTGCCTCTAGAATGGGAAGATTAAAGGCATGCACCACCATGTCTGGCCCAATTTTAGATCAATCTTTTTCTCCTCTCTAACCGTTTAATTTACCAGGCCAGGAAAATAATTATGTTTGGTGGATTTTTACCTCCTTTTGCTCTGTCTGGTTTTGTAACTGTTGTATTTTAGGTCTCAGACACTATTCACTTCATCTCACACTTATAGAAACACGTTTTCAGTAATCAGTCCTGTCCTGTTCCCATTTGTAAAGAATATGGGTTATACATGGTGTCTTCTCTCTCTGACCTCCTCAAGTCTAGTTTCTTACCTTGAAGGGCCTGTTGATAGTAGACCAAGGAGACACCCCGCCCCAGTTTCTTCCACTCCAATCTGGAGGAAGCAGTCTTCTTTGGGGTTTTACAAGCTAAAATAGCCTCTAGAAACGAGGGAAAATACATTTTTTATGAGCTTATACCTTAACTTAAAAAACTTTAAAACATCTTTAAATTACTTTAACTTTTTTTTTTTGCATTTCCATCCATCCATCCATCCATCCATCTCCACCAACTCACATACCAAGACTTAAATACATCGTCACCTCAATAGGTACCATGTTGACTACACCCAAAGATGAATTGGGAACATAACTGCTCTTGTCTCTAATAATTATGTGACAGAATCGTAGCTCTGGAATCTGAGTTTCCATCACTGAAATGGGATAGTGGCTCACACAGTTGTGAGTCTTCAAAAGCAGCAACGTATCAAAACAGACAGGCCTTAACACTGTTAGCACTTAGCAAACGGCTGCTGCGACTATGTATTTATTTGTTAGTCTCCATATCTGAGGAGCCTAAAGTTTGATGGAAGATGCAGGTAAGATAAAGTCATTTCAGGCAAAGATGTCGTGTATCAAGAGGGAGGTCAAGCAGGAGTACTTGACTTTTGCACCTATGAAAGACACTTAGCCCACCCCGGGCATGCTGGGAAAACGCACAGAAGTTCCTCACAGGCTACATTCCCATTCAGTTCTGTAGTAATATATTATTTACGATTTATTAAAGCTTGCCTGAGGGTACAGAAAGCAAAGCCAGCCACACTAGTTAGCTATAGAAGCCAGGTGGTGGTGGTTCACATCTTTAATCCCAGGACTCAGGATTAAAAGGTAGATGGATCTCTGAGTCCAAGACCTCCCTGGACTACTGCAGAGTGAATAAGAGCTCATGCCTTGATCCTAGAGGTATAAAAGGTAAAGGTATTCTATCTGAGAGTGAGTCTCTAGCCATGTTGAGGAGAGCATAGCAGTCTGAGTGAATCTGAGGAGCGGTGAAATCGGGAGCAATCTGAGGATCACCCCTTTGGTCTGAGCTGAGGTAGAGGTAAGAGCTACTGGCTGGCTGCTTTGCTTTTCTGACCTCCAGCTTGAAGCTTGAACCCCAATATCAGCTCTGGGCTGATATATTTATCATGCTACACAGTTCCCTTGTGACTCACGCTATGAAGACATTAATAAACACCCAATATAGCCTTATATAAATTATAGGTTCTGCCAGGCATTGGTGGCGCACACCTTTAATCCCATCACTCTGGAGGCAGAGGCAGACGGATTCCGTGAGTTCAAGGCCAGCCTGGTCTACAGAGTAAGTTCCAGGACAGGATCCAAAATAATACAGAGAAACCCTGTCTTGAAAAAAAAATAAAAATAAATAAATTGTAGGTTTCTGCTGCAAAATGACTGCCTTTAACTTTGCCTCAATATGGAAAAACTATTAAAAGATGAATCTTCACATTAATTTTACTTCAGTGTAGCAAAGATCAATTTTATGATAGTAAATTTACCATAGTTGCATCATTAAAGAATTCCTGGAACCTCCGAGGTTGTCACCTCTTTTGACTGTCCAGAAAAAATGACTAGGGGAGAGTCCCCCAACACTATTCTCAATATTACTCCAAGCTACCAAGCAGAAGTGCCATCTACAAATAGTTTAAAAGTATGTTTCAACTAGGCTCCTTGGTGTGCCGACTTCATATTTCTGAATATGTTTAACCATAAGCATGTGGTTTGATCTAAAAAAAAAAAAAAGGACAGGATCTTTCGCTGAATAAAAAATTAAGTTAAAATCTTTTCCATATGTCTGATTATGATGTTTAAGAACATTAATGTCATTTTTTAAAAGTCCATATTTCATATGCATAATCATGGACTAAAAACGTCTGTAGGCCTATGTGTGAAAACTGTAACCCAGCGGTGACAGAATAAGGGCTTGTTGCTGTTATACGTAGCCTGTACTGTGTTTCTAAATTTTAACTGTGCTTCTGTTGATAGGAATAAAACGAAAGGAAATAGAAAATGGGCTAGAGAAAAGAAAGGCAAGGGGGCAAAAAAAAAAAAAAAAACCTACACAGTCTTAAGAATGCTTAAAGCTTTCATTTCACACCACGCCGAGTGATCCTTTTCAGAGGTGTTTACAACTATGCTACAAAGACAAATGCGTGCTAAGGGACCTGTCTGAGGAAACAGTTCTGTTCTGTTGATTAAGGAGAAAGGGTGGCAACTTCCGGAGTCTTGAGCTTTAGATAGGTTTCCTTCCCGTATTTTGTTGAGTTTTCCAACAACTATGCACACACCCACACCCGTTTTCACTGTTTCTCTGTGTCTCACTCCTACACCTTAAGAGATAATTTTAGACCGCACCACACAATTCCATGTATTTAACGAAACAGGCACACAAATGCATCCCTCTTGGCCAGTTCCTCCCTCACTGTCCTATGGGGAAAACCTGAGGAAATTCAATGTAACCGATGACTTCCCCTGCCCCAGTGATGTGACTTTAGTCTCCTTCTTACTGAACATATGGAATGTGAAGAAGTAATCTATCCCATTTTCCAAAATCTGTTCAGTAATACTGTGGGGGCCAGCATTGTTCTTGGGCTGTAATCGGCAAGCAGAGCAAGGATCCTTTGGCTTTGGGGATCTGACAGTCTAGCAGGGAAAGTCAGGCCGACAAGCAGCAAGTACCCCAGGAGGTGGGAGCTGGGAGATGGGGGACAGTAAAGCAGCAGAGGAGATGGAGGGGCGCTGGGACAAGGACACAGTGTACAACACAAAGCTGGCCTCTTTCAGAAGGTGACATCTGATCAAAGATTGAGAAGACAGGGAACTTCATTCTAAGATTCTTTGAGAAAGTGTCCTGCACAGGGAAGTGAAGACCAAGAGCCCCAAGGCTGTGGTTCTCAACTATCCTAATGTTGCCGCCCTTTAATGCAGTTCCTAATGACGTGGTGAGCCCCCCCCCAACATAAAATTATTTTCGTGGCTACTTCACAACTGCAATTTTGCTACTGTTATGAATCTAATGTAACTATCCGTGTTTCTACATGGTCTTAGGTGACCCTGTGAAAGTGTTGTTCCATCCCACCAGGAGGCACAGGTTGAGAACCACTGCCCTAAGGCATCAACACCTTGATCTGGAGCTGTCATCCTCTAGAACTCTCAGAGAACAAGGCTATTGCTTTAGAGTCGGTAGTATTTTAATAAGACAGGCCCAGGGTACTAACACAGACAGTGAGAGTCCGAGAATGATGGGGCTAGTATTTCAGGATAAAGAACCTAGATGTTAACTCTCCCCTCTCTCCAGTCAAAATTCAAAACTCACAGCTGGCATAATTTTCCCTATCTGGCTTCTGGGTTATGGTGACATGATAGTTCACAGAACAGGCCATCAGG